TAGCTAACAGATATTTTATACTATTACTAGTGGATAATTTCCCATCCCTCTTAGGTTGTTCAAAGTGGAGCCAGTTTGGGGAAAATGAATATTTGCACACAAAAAACAAAAAAAGGTACACTGGTTGACTATTTTCAGTTGATTATTTCCTATCCTCCATTTATTGAGAATGATTGTGACAAGTTTCAGGAAGATGGGTGGTTTTAGGAGTGGTCAGATTGACAGGCTGCTGGTGTGTACTTGTTGATAAGGGAGCCGAAAAAGTGGCCCAGCAGTTGTACATGATTCTGTTCTAAGGCTGATAAGAGGGTGAGGCATTTGGAAATGGGTAGTTAGCGTGCCAGAAGATGCCAACCCTACCGTTACACTTGTTTACAGTGAGCTGCACTGAGGTCCGACCATAATCATGGTTACATTAAGACACCATGGAGCTGGCGCGAGATATGGGTTGGAAAACCTACCTCAATTCAGGAATGGGATATTCCACTGTACTCCAAATTGTACCTTTATCCGCGCTACTCCACTGAGAAGATTGAAATACTGCTAATTTTCCTGTGTAAGTCTGTATCTTCTGGCAAGGTAGCTAGCTATGCAGCAATACACTATAGGGAATGAAAATGAACATGGAGGATGAAGTTACAAGGTTTTATTGGCATTATGAACAGGAGGGAGTTCTAAGAATATTACAAAACTGTAGCTCAGTTGGTAGAGCATGGCGCTTGCAATGCCAGGGTTGTGGGTTCGTTTCCCACAGGGGGCCAGTATGAAAATGTATGCACTCACTAACTGTAAGTCGCTCTGGATAAGAGCGTCTGCTAAATGACAAAAATGTAAAAAATGTGATCCATGCAGCCTTCATTTGATTAATTGTGAGACATGTCAATTGACAAAACAAATTGTTCTCTTCTAGCTGCTGAGATGCTTGAACCACCTCGCTCCTCAGGGTCAATTGGCTCTGGTAAGCTTCTTTCACACTGTACTTTAACACCACATTTGTTTGGAGCGTTTTTTCAGAACTCTGGCACGTTTCCCCCTTTAGTTCGGTTTGTTTGGACTGGTGTGAACCAGGGCTGTGACGATACCAGTATCGCAATATTTTTCTGCTGTATGTAAGATATTGTGTGCTATAGCTAGTGTTGAGCGATTAGTGCTTTTTGAGGTCGTTTAGGTTAGATTATTTAAAAATAATGGGGTTTCGATAATTTACTGCTTGTTACTTATTAGCCATAATTTATTCACTTTAACAAAACATTTAAGTTGTGTATATTACATTTGTTTTATTTGATTACCTTATTTAATTCCAAGTCAGCATCTCATCTCTATAGAGCTTCTGCCTATGCTGTCTGGCAAAATCACTATTTTGTATACTGAACAAAAATATAAATGCAACAGCTTCAACGATTTTACTGCATTACAGTTCATATAAGGAAATCAGTCAATTTAAATAAATTCATTAGGCCCTAATCTATGGATTTCACATGACTGGGCAGGAGCGCAGCCATGGGTGGGCCTGGGAGGGCACCACCCGCTTGGGAGCCAGGCCCAGCCAATCAGAATGAGTTTTCCCCCACAAAGGGGCTGAGTCTCATCAGCTGTCCGGGTGGCTGGTCTCAGACGATCCCGCAGGTGAAGAATCCGGATGTGGAGTTCCTGGGCTGGAGTGGTTACACATGGTCTGTGGTTATGAGGCTGGTTGGCGATACTGGCAAATTCTCTAAAACTACGTTGGAGGCAGCTTATGCTAGAGAAATGAACATTCAATTTTCTGGGAACAGCTCTGGTGGACATTCCTACAGTCAGCATGCCAATTGCACGCTCCTTCAACTTGAGGCATCTGTGGCTAGTGTTGTGTGACAAAACTGCACATTTTAGTGGCCTTTTATTGTCCCCAGCACAAGGTGCAGCTGTGTAATAATCATTATGTTTAATCAGCGTTTTGATATGCCACACCTGTCAGGTGGATGGATTATCTTGGCAAAGGAGAAATGTTCACTAACAGGGATGTAAACACATTTGTGCACAACATTTGAGAGAGAGATGCTTTTTTTTGTGTATGGGAAAATTCTGGGATATTTTACTTTAGCTCATGAAACATGGGACCAACACTTTACACGTTGCGTTTATATTTTTGTTCAGTATAGTTCTTCAAAGTAAATGAGGCATACTTTTATGACTGCTGAATACCAACTATCAATCACTTAGATCATGTATTTTCAGGTAGATGCCTCGCGAAGCAACAGCTGCTCTCTATATCACCTCAAGATTGCACACTATTCTCTCCTCCATAGCAGCCATAAAAAAAAAACGCAGACCGGACAAGTACACTATATATACAAAAGTATGTGGACACCCCTTCAAATTAGTGGCTATTTCAGCTACACCCGTTGCTTGACAGATTTATAAAATCAAGCACACTGCCATGCAATCTCCATAGACAAACATTGGCAGTAGAATGGCCTTACTGAAGAGCTCAGTGACTTTCAACGTGGCACCATCATAGGATGCCACCTTTCCAACAAGTCATTTAGTCAAATTTCTGGCCTGCTAGAGCTGCCCCGGTCAACTGTAAGTGCTGTTATTGTGAAGTTGAAACGTCTAGGCGCAACAATGGCTCAGCCACAAAGTGGTAGGCCACACAAGCTCACAGAACCGGACCGCCTAGTGCCACGATTCTGTGCTTTCAACTTTGTGGCAACAGTTTGGGGAAGACCCTTTCCTGTTTCAGCATGACAATGCCCCCGTGCACAAAGCTTGGTCCATACAGAAATGGTTTGTCGACATCGGTGTGTAAGAACTTGACTGGCCTGCACAGAGCCCTGACCTCAACCCCATCGAACACCTTTGGGATGAATTGGAATGCCGATTACGAGCCAGGCCTAATCGCCCAACATCAGTGCCCGACCTCACTAATGCTCTGAATGGAAGCAAGTCCCCGCAGCAATGTTCCAACATCTAGCGGAAAGCCTTCCCAGAAGAGTGGAGTTTGTTATGGCAGCAAAGAGGGGACCAACTCCATATTAATGCCCATGATTTTAGAACTAGATGTTCAACGAGCAGGTGTCCACATGCTTTTGGTAATGTAATTTAGATGCACAATGGATTATGGTCATTGTAGTTAATTACCACGTTTTAGGTGCTAAAGTCTGTAGAATATTGGCCTGTTGGAAACTACATCGCACAGTTCAGGCTGGATCTGATTTATCTCTAGAGAAATAGTGCGATGTGAGCTTTGAGCTCACAGAAGAAGGAAACATTTTTTGAAATGGATCGCAAATAATTGAACCGACATCAGTGAATTAGTTGTTTAAATAACGAAAAATAACCGTCATTTCAGTTAATCGCTCAGCACTAGCTATAGCTTGGAAAATAAATAAATGTGACTGGATGACAACATAATTATGTTTGTTTCCAACATTAGGGCTGTTTTCCTAAAGAACTTAAATCTGTTTCCTTTCCACGATACTAACGAGTATCTCGATACTGGTATTGTCCCAGCCGTAGTGTGAATGCACTATATGCACTTGGGAGTGCACGAAACGTCACACGTGGTTCGCTCAAAAAGGGTGGGGGCTATAGGCTACTGAATATAGCCTACTCACGTCGCAGATGGAGCGGCTATTGTTGTTGGAAGACCAAAGAGAAAGTAATATGAAGTTACGCTTTTAATGATAATACATGGATTTAATTTGAGCGTTTTCTCCAATACATGACTGGTATGAACACGTGATTTTGTTAAGGCATTTTAGTTTGACATTTGGCAATGTTTCTTTTTTGGTTTACTGTTTGATCAGTCGCTGAGATTATATTTGGATATCAATGTAAAATAGGCTACTTTGATGAATAGCCTATAGATCAGATCAAGGAACCAAGCGACAACACTGCCCCCACGGCCGCGGAAGGAATGTTACGGCACGTCTACAATTTCAGGTAGTACAAAAGTACGTAGAATGCCGGAGCGTATTACAAGGAGCTGCCCCTTTTGTGAGGAAAAACGACATTGCAACACTGCGTTATGCTAGCACTATGTTTGTACCATCAGTTTACTGTACCCTCTAGTAGACATTTTGTTTCTCCTATTCCCCCAACCACTGTAATTTATGTCTTGATTCTGGCAGGCAATGGAAATTGGATATAAAATAGGGCAAGTATAATTGTAGGAATCAATTAGATGAAAGGGTGTTTACCGGCAAGAAAGAACACTGGATAACAGCTGACTGCACTGACGCACAATGGCCATGTCCGAAATCGGTCTTGCCTTCTACTTACTAAAACTAAATACTGTGTACTAATTTGACTACATACTATTTAGAACTCACTGTTTAAAAAAATCAAATGCAGTAAGCAACATCAAGATACTAGGCTCACCCATCCCGAGAATGCGTCATGTAATGCACAACCGCGTTGATTCCTGCCGTTCGTTCATTTGGCTACAGCACGTCCCCTTATCTGATTATCAGCTGTTGTTACACAGTCAGGAAAAACTATTCTCTTCCTCAAGTGTGCAGCGAATTCTACTAGATGAAGAGCCAAAATGAGTATAACATCGAGGCATTTAAAGCATACTCGATTTTTGAAATTTCACATAGTATTTTTGTATACCTAAAATGCCTACTATTTAGAACGCAAGACACGGCCTATATCTTTTCCAAAGGGACTTGTTTGCATCTTAAAATATGTCCTGAATATCAGACCCCTGAAATACCCTTCTCTACCTATTATAACAAAGCTGGATATCACGTGGGATGCCAGTTATTCTTAGACATGCTGATTAGAAGTTGACAATTTGACCCTCTCTTCATAGAGGCTTAGCTAGCTGAGGAAACGCATAATCCCTAGGATTAATAGACCGCTAAAGAAAAGACTGACTTTGAACCAGTTTCGCTAAACTGATAATTTTTTTTCCTGTTGGCAAACTATCCCCTGCCACATTAACAATGTCTTAATCATGCATCAAGACTCACAAGAACATTCCACTTGTCCTCTTCAGTGACATATTGGAGATGACTTCTGTGTATTGTATAGCAGGTGAGTTGTTGATGCGAAGAGCTGGAGAACAGAGAAGACTTCAAAGGGAGTATGTTCACAGTCCTTCCATGATATCAAGGCCCCAGGCTGAAGAAGCCTGAATGAACACAGTATTTTGTATTTATTAAGACTCCCCATTAGCTGCTGCCAAGGCAGCAGCTACTCTTCCTGGGGTCCAGCAACATTAAGGCAGTTATATACAATTAAAAAATATTACATGGCATTTCATAACACTTTTCACAACACATTAAGTGTGTGTCTTCAGGCCACTACTCTACTACAACATATCTACAATACAAAATCCATGTGTGCGTTATCGTGTGTCTTCACAGTCCTCGCTGTTCAATAATGTGTCCAAACTCGGTCAGGACTCACCAACCAAATAGTTCAAGCATGGCAGTATAATGTATTGAACATCCAACTATTCACATTCTAAAAAATAATATTACAGAACAATATTGTGAGTTACCATATTCTAGCCTGGTCCCAGATCTGTTTGTGCTGTCTTGCTAACTTGTGATAATGATCATAGGAGTTGGAAAAACTGCACAAACAGATCTGGGGCTAGGCTAAAGCAGTTCCATCTGTACAGTTATTAACTTGTTTCTTTATTTGCTTCCTACCCCTGACCCCTCTGATCCAGATCCCCCGTCTCCCCCAGTGCCGGAGTATGTGTTCAAACCCCCATCACGGCCAGACTTTGGCACCATGGGCAGGACAATCAAACTGCAGGCCAACTTCTTTGAGATGGAGATCCCCAAACTGGAGGTCTACCACTACGACATCGACATCAAGCCAGAAAAATGCCCCAGAAGGGTCAACCGGTATGGAGCTGTTTTATTTGGTTTATAGGCTTTCACCTGAGTAGACAATGATCTAGTTAAAGACATGCTCTGGAACTTTGGCGAATTCTAAGTATTTTTTAAACCTCCCGCTTTGGGCTGGGTGTGTCATGAGCTAGGGATGGACATGAGTAATCGAGTACTTGAACGGACATTAACTTGGATCTTTAACCAGAGATCCAATTTTTTTCAAATACTGTAAAACTATTTAGTCATTTTCGTCTTGGAGACTACGTTAATTTGCTTTTACTCTAGTGTTCCATTTGTACATGTGCATTTGCGGGACACAACAAAATTCAAAATGGACTGGTTGACTGAAGTAGGGAAATACAGTGAGGGGGAAAAAGTATTTGATCCCCTGCTGATTTTGTACGTTTGCCCACTGACAAAGACATGATCAGTCTATAATTTTATTGGTAGGTTTATTTGAACAGTGAGAGACAGAATAGCAACAAAAAGAAACACAAAATAACTGTCAATCTCCCTCGGCCTGGGGCTCCATGCAAGATCTCACCTCGTGGAGTTACAATGATCATGAGAACAGTGAGGAATCAGCCCAGAACTACACGGGAGGATCTTGTCAATGATCTCAAGGCAGCTGGGACCATAGTCACCAAGAAAACAATTGGTAACACAGTACACCGTGAAGGACTGAAATCCTGCAGCGCCCACAAGGTCCCCCTGCTCAAGAAAGCACATATACATGCCCGTCTGAAGTTTGCCAATGAACATCTGAATGATTCAGAGGAGGACTGGGTGAAAGTGTTGTGGTCAGATGAGACTAAAATGGAGCTCTTTGGCATCAACTCAACTCGCTGTGTTTGGATAAGGAGGAATGCTGCATATGACCCCAAGAACACCATCCTCACCGTCAAACATGGAGGTGGAAACATTATGCTTTGGGGGTGTTTTTCAGCTAAGGGGACAGGACAACTTCACCGCATCAAAGGGACGATGGACGGGGCCATGTACCGTCAAATCTTGGGTGAGAACCTCCTTCCCTCAGCCAGGGCATTGAAAATGGGTCGTGGATGGGTATTCCAGCATGACAATGACCCAAAACACACGGCCATGGCAACAAAGGAGTGGCTCAAGAATAAGCACATTAAGGTCCTGTAGTGGCCTAGCCAGTCTCCAGACCTTAATCCCATAGGAAATCTGTGGAGGGAGCTGAAGGTTCGAGTTGCAAAACGTCAGACTCAAAACCTTAATGACTTGGAGAAGATCTGCAAAGAGGAGTGGGACAAAATCTCTCCTGTGATGTGTGCAAGCCTGGTGGCCAACTACAAGAAACGTCTGACCTCTGTGATTGCCAACAAGGGTTTTTCCAGAAAGTTCTAAGTCATGTTTTGCAGAGGGGTCAAATACTTATTTCCCTCATTAAAATGCTAATCAATTTATAACATTTTTGACATGCGTTTTTCTGGATTTTTGTTGTTGTTATTCTGTCTCTCACTGTTCAAATAAACCTACCATTAAAATTATAGACTGATAATTTCTTTGTCAGTGGGCAAACGTACAAAATCAGCAGGGCATCAAATACTTTTTTCCCTCACTGTATGTGTTCAAATAATGAGCTGCAATTTTGGAACAATTGCGTCATTTTCCGCTTGGGCTCTTTGCGGTTGTCACTAGTTACCACAGCCACAAAGTCAAAATCGCTATATGTGACCGACCGGCTCGATTCAGTCCTATGTAGCAACATTTGAAATTGTGTTTTTTACATGGGATAAAAGTAGAGTCTCAGAGCTAGAAAATTGTATATCATACACTACAGTTGAGGAACAATGGGAAAGTAATTCTGCTTTGAAAGTTGATAAACTTGTAACCCCACTTTTGAGAAAATGGCCCTTGAATGTTTTGGTACACCTACTGGAGAGCTCTTTGTCTACACTCATTGAGCATCATTCACACCCTCTTAAGCCTTAGTCCCACCCATCTCTTTAAGGATTCACATGTGAGGCCATGTGCTAAACAGTGAGTACGGTCGTGTACTAAACAACCAAAGATTTCAAGACTAAAGGCTGGTTTATACTAAGTCTATCGACATTTGTCATTCATTATTACAGGGAAATAAACTCACAACAAGAACCTCTACGGGATCGGTGTCCTGTATACGGGACGGTTGAGCTAATGTGCGCTAATGTGATTAGCATTGTAAGTAACAGCAAACTTTCGTGCGGTCATTTTGGCCTCAATTATTAAACATAAACAAGGAGCTGCACCATTACCCTCCATAGTCAAATTGATTTTATTCAACACAGTCCAAACTACTGAACTAAAAGGTGACTCACACACACACCACATTTTTTTATTAAGCTCGGCTGTTTCTTCTTCTCGCCTTCTCTGGAAACACTCGACGTTTACTTGTTTAATGATTACTCTGTCGACTGAAACAGCCTGAAGCTAAGACCGAGCTTTGGAAACGAACGAACGACTAAGAAACACCAATAGTGATTTTCTGATAATTTTATCCAAATTATGAATGATCGAAACACTCAGAATGCATTGTTTTGTTGAGGTTATTCATGGTCGCTATGAGAAAGCTTAAATTTGAGTTAATCTAACTGCACTGTCCAATTTACAGTAGCTATTACAGTGAAAAAAATACCATGCTATTGTTTGAGGAGAGTGCACAACAACTAACTTATCACGGCAACTGGTTTGATACATTCACCTCTGAAGGTAAATAATGTACTTACATTCAGTAATCTTGCTCTGATTTGTCATCCTAAGTGTCCCAGAGATAAAATGTAGCATCGTTTTGTTTGATAAAATCAATTTTTTTATTCAAATGTAGGAACTGGGTTCTACAGTTTAAACCCCTGCTGTCTCTGGCTCCACACCCACCCCGCCCGGCCATCTAGATGTGTGAAAGTTAGTGTATAAGCTAATGATCCATCATGTATGACATTCCTGGAAGTGTGTAAACTTACATTTTGTATTACCATATAATTTTTGTATGTTCTTTATAGTTACGTATTTGAAAATGTATCAGTTGACCAATTTGGCACATTTGGGAAGACTTGATACAAAATAGTCCAGTATTGCAATGCTTCACTGGATCAATCTGAAACTTTGGACACTGCTGCCATCTAGTGGCCAAAATCTAAACTGCAATATATTGTGGCCTTTCTCTTGCATTTCAAAGATGGAACAGAACAAACAAATAGAAAACGCATGTTTTTTTCATTGTATTATCATTTACCAGATCTAATGTGTTATTCTCCTACATTAATTTCAAATTTCCACAAACTTCAAAGGGTTTCCTTTCAAATGGTATCAAGAATATGCATATCCTTGCTTCAGGTCCTGAGCTACAGGCAGTTATATTTGGGTATGTCATTTTGAGGCGAAAATTTAAAAAAATGGTCTGATCCTTAAGAGGTTAATGGCAAGCTAATTACAGAAAATGGCTTACAGTTGTGAGTGACGAAATAAAGCAGGGCATTCTACCAGAGCATTTTAGAACTTGGACACTGTCTCGTTGGCTTAAAGTTATATCCTGATTAGGTACAGGTCATGTTGTTCTTCACATTAACGTCTCTGGTAAACACACACTATATCAAATAAAATCCCAAGTTTATTTGTCACGTGCACAGAATACAGAAGGTGTACAGGGAAATGGTTACTTGCATAATGGAGTCTTTTTGTTTTAGACATGTAGCTAGCTAAACAATAACCATAATCCCAACTCATAACGTTACAACCGTGCATGAATCTACAGGTAGCTAAACGCTAACCAACTAGGTTCAATGGTAGATAGCTAACATTAGGCTATTACTAGCAGTGCAAATGGCTCAGATACGAATATTACTACACAGATCATACACGTAACGTTAGCCAGCGAGCCAGCTAACATTAGCTAGCTAGCTAACAGTATGCTTTAACTTGCAATGAAAACTACTTTCTGACAAAATTAGAAACTTAGAATATATTACAATGTAGCTAGCTAGACTCTCTTACCCGTATACACAAAACGCTTCTCCCTCTGTCACGGATGCCATGGTTGCCCTTAGTTTGAAGATGTAATCCGGAGACAGGTGTTTTATACAACAGCCTTCTGTGTTCTCTTTTCCACTCCTTCTGCATTTGCAATCAAACGTCTGAATTTTCTCAATCTCCTTAGCTATCATACTCTCCTTCCACCGGGCATTCCACTGATTTCAAAACTCGGTCCTCCAGAAAGTAGAGCTATCGTTCAAAATAATCTGCGTTAGAAAGGATTACCTACACATATTGAGCAGCTCGTTATAGACAGAAGCGTGCTACATGGCAGACCAATCTGAACTCATCTCTCGGCATGTCCAGCCAATCCATTATCTCAGCCAATCATGGCTAGCGGGAAGGTTCCTGTCTTTTTCTGTGGCTAAACCAACTAGGCTCGTAATTTAACAATTTTATTTGTATTTACAGGTGGTATACAAGTTTGTTATTAAAGCACATGAAAGTTCACATGTTTACGCACACATGCCTCTCCAGTAATGTAGTGATGCGTAATATTCGCCTAGTTTCCTGAAATGTGTCACATATCGTAAAAACTCATAAACTATAATGTGCTTTTTTGGTCTTAATTTAAGGTTAGCAGTGTGGTTAAGGGTTAGGTTTAACATCTGATTTTTAAGAAGAGATATTGTGGAAACAGGTGTGGTTTATGACTTTGTGGCTGTGGTAACTAGTGACGACCCTACTTTGCGAACTGCTAGTGCCATTTACAATTGGTTAGCCCAGGCTATAACCCACTCCTAAATATAGACCGGTTCCAGACTGAAAATATGCAAAAACATTAGTTTGATAAAGACAAAGATCATATTTTCATCAGATTCATTAAGCATAGGTCTACTCAACCAAACAGATGTTGTGGCCACAATTCATCCCCATGCAGTGTTAATTGTGGAATTGTTAATCCATTTAGGAAACTCCAAAGAACAGAATAAACTAAATCAAAGCTCTATCGAAAAGAAGACCGATTTTTGGTTTGTAATCCAGAAAAATGTATCAACTCTCCAAATTGAGCCCTCTTTCAAATGATCACTCTTTGAGAATAACCAGATGCGAGATGCACATCACTTCTGTTTTATTTTATTCTGTTATATTACATTGTTTTTATACTATAAAATAGGTGTCTTGACTATGATAATGGCTCGGGTCTACTAAATTAACAAAACAAGGCTATGCCATTGCACAGCAATAGGTTTCTATAAGCAAGCGCCACACTGCTGAGGTTACTACCTTTCTGATATGTGTTCCATTATATAATATAAAAAGTTTATTACAGTTAAATAAATGAATCTTAAATGGCACTTGTTTTTTTGTTTTTTATTGAAGAGGGAGTGAGGCAATTTAGCTATTAGGATTCGTTATCTGTAATGATTATGATAAATTAGGCATTGTTGCACACTGTTGGTATATAGATATATTCAACAACAACAACAATCTCCAGTGCAGGCCTTGTTCAAAAATTATAATAATAATTTTTTGCTACTTTAAAGAAATCATGCGAGTACTCGGAACAGTCATAGGTCAATGCCATCTCTATTGAGAGCCATTCCCCGACCAATTTCTTCAGCCCCTCGCCATTTGAGTGACCGCTAGCAAGATGCTCACACACAGCAGAGCTAAAGAGAGAGAGCAATGACGTGGTGCACATATCTGCACATGTGATGTAGTACGCATGTTTCGGGAACCGATTATGTCTCTCGAGTGCTACTTTTAGGGACAAATATACTAGATGTGAATGGGGATTGTAAGGCTTTGTTGTGTACAAAGTACAATGGCATTTTGTACTGTATTGATAACATCTCATATGCTCCATTTGTGTTCTTCTCAGTGAAATTGTGGAGCACATGGTACAGCACTTTAAAACGCAGATTTTTGGGGATCGAAAGCCAGTGTATGACGGGAGGAAGAATCTCTACACAGCCATGCCCTTACCAATAGGGAGGGAAAAAGTAAGTCTCCCCAGCTGACTTGAGGTGTCTGATGTAATTGTGGTGTTATGGGACTATCAGATGTGATTACATGCAATGTGATACCAAATTAATGACGTCCATGATATTGGATGAAGAGTGGTTTTACATTGTGTATAGGCTACATATTCCATGTAAGGTCTTGACTTGCCTGGTGATATGAAATAAAATATTTTATTAAGCTTTTTGATGCTTCGACTGGGTAGTCATGCCGATTTTTAAACACTTTAAAACACCTCTACTCACAGGTGGAGCTGGAGGTGACCATCCCAGGCGAGGGGAAGGACAGGAGCTTCAAAGTGGCCATAAAGTGGGTGTCCTGCGTCAGTCTGCAAGCTCTTCAAGAAGCCCTTTCGGGACGACTGCCAAACATCCCCTTCGAGACCATCCAGGCCCTGGACGTGGTCATGAGACATTTGCCCTCTATGAGGTCAGACTTTTCCCCTTGAAAACGATCAGTATATTTTCGCTAAGTAATATTGGTATTTAATTGTGGTATTTAGAGTTGCATACAAAGTTCTCAGACAAAATTGTTCTCATACTCAAACCATGTCTGCTATAATAAATGGGTCCACATACTTAATATGACCCTCTATTTTTGACATTTCTTCAATCTTTCCCTCACTGTTTTCTGTATACCTATGTACACACCATTTACATCTAGTGTATTTGGCCCAGTTGTTTATTCAAATTCCTCTGTCAGGCTCCTTGTAAAGCTAGATTCTGTTGAGACCGAGGTGAATCACATTGTCGTCCTCCCACCCTCTTCCAACAGGTACACCCCCGTCGGACGTTCTTTCTTCACCCCTTCAGAGGGCTGCTCTAACCCCCTGGGCGGGGGCAGAGAGGTCTGGTTTGGGTTCCACCAATCGGTCAGGCCTTCCCTGTGGAAGATGATGCTAAACATTGACGGTAGGTTTCACTCAGTGAATGTCTGTGTCCCAAATGGCACCCTATTCCCTAAATAGTAGAGAATGTGTCAGACTAGAGTACGTCTCTGTGTGTAGGGTGTGTGAATGGAAGGAGGATAGTACTGGGAATCTCATTTGATGGTATGTTTCAGGCAGTAATTAAGTGGCATTGATTTAACTCTCCCTGGAGTGCTGATTGGGTGGGGCTTGTGCTTTTGAGGTTTTGCCATTGGTCCTAAACGTGTAAACCCAACCCACTATGCTCAATCGAGTGCAACCTACCATAATCGTAAGTTGCAGTATGTATTTGGAAGCAGGAGGGTAGGTCTGTGAATCTCATCGCTGTGCTTGGTGTTTTGTTGTTCCAGTGTCTGCCACTGCTTTCTACAAGGCTCAGCCTGTGATTGAGTTCATGTGTGAGGTTTTGGATTTCAAAAGCATTGAAGAACAACAGAAGCCCTTAACCGACTCCCAGAGAGTAAAGTTTACCAAGGAAATCAAAGGTAATCATTCATTACCAGGTAATCAATAGTTGCGTTGGGTTGGTTGTTTTGTCTCAGTGGAAATGCTTGAAAATACTTATACCCAACAATTCTGTATAATAATAACAAATATTGATGTATCCATTTGTGTGTTGACGTAGAATCTGAATCTGATTTGAAATTTCAAAGTAGAATGTGATAAAATAGGAAAAGGTTATTGTCCACAGAATGTGTGAATCTGACCACTGTCTTGCCGTTGTGTGATTCTCAGGTCTGAAGGTTGAGATCACTCACTGTGGTCAGATGAAAAGGAAGTACAGAGTATGTAACGTGACCAGAAGACCAGCCAGCCACCAGACGTAAGAAAGAAGACCATACAATATTCACGACTACTGCCTCAATTCCTTTAGTTTCTTGTGATATAAACACAACTGGTTTGCATAGGGATGTAAAATAATAATAACTGGATTAACACGTGCTTAACACATAATTCATGCACAGATTAAGAGCAGATGCCAATAAAGTAACACAGAAATCCCCACTTGGGATATGGAATCCCTTTGTAAAATCCAATCAAACATTTTTTTTTTTTTTCTCATCTGTTTGACCTCAGGTTTCCTCTGCAGCAGGAAAATGGCCAGACCATAGAATGCACGGTAGCGCAGTACTTCAAAGACAAGTACAAACTCATGCTACGCTACCCCCACCTCCCCTGTCTACAGGTCGGACAGGAGCAGAAACACACCTACCTCCCCCTCGAGGTCAGTCGGCAGTCTCCCCTCACAACCTCTCAGATGGTTTACTGCTGGATTCAAATGGTTACAAAGAATGAGGACCCGGGCAGTATTACAGAAACTCCAGTTTGCCATTGAAACAGTGAAAATGCCTTGTACCTCTGTAGAGTATGGGAGACTAATCTGCGGGTGGATGATGCCTCAATGTGTCCCTGAGGGTATTAATAAAGTTGTGTTGTATGTGTCCAGGTATGCAACATAGTAGCTGGCCAGCGGTGCATCAAGAAGCTGACAGACAATCAGACGTCGACTATGATCCGTGCCACAGCCCGATCAGCACCCGACCGTCAGGAAGAAATCAGCAAACTGGTAAAGTGACTGTTAGTGACTTGGGGGAATTAACTCAAGCACTGAGTGTCTTGAAAGCTGCTTTTATGCACTTAAAGGATCTATTTGGTTGCAACTGAATGGACAACGACTCTTAAGTGCTGTTATTGAACCATTGGTGGCCTGACCATATGTACGTTTTCTTTCAGTCTGAAGTCCTAGTGTATAATAACCCCTCTGAATTATTACCACTGAACCTTTACTCTCTTTTCAGATGAGAAGTGCCAACTTTAACAATGATCCTTACGTGCGTGAGTTTGGGGTGATGGTGAGGGATGAGATGACCGAGGTGAATGGCCGAGTCCTCCAGGCCCCATCTATCCTCTACGGAGGGCGGGTAGGTTTCTACCATTTAAGCTGGGTTGGTTGATTGACTGATTTTGATTAGATAATTCAAAAACAGATGTTTCCATCAAACTGACTTTTTGCGGATAAAAGGCCTTGCATGATGACGTAGTGAACATAAAAAGAACCTTTGCTGTTAAATTCCCATGTACCGAATGGAAAAATACAAGTTAAATGGATTTCCATCACATTTTCAACTCTACTGATGGTTTTGTCACAAACTGTATAGCGAATGTGCCAACTCTGGTCTTGGCACATGCGCTCTAGCCATCAGCTCACAGATACAGTGTGGTTAGGCTGCCTACATTATGAGATTATTATGGATAAGAGCGATATTTGTATTTGTCAAACTGCAGCCAAGCATCGATCATCATGTCACCAGAATAAGAGACTCAATATTTATTGGAAAGGAGCATCAAGCTCATCACCTTGCACATTCACCACCCTGTGAAGTTCCTCATAACTTGTTTCATCTGTAGCCTAATAATTAATAAACTGCATGGTTTCCTGAGTCGTAGTGGGAGGACTACAGAACATATCATCGTGTGACTCCAAGTTTGCGTTTACACTGCCATTTTTTACATTATACATTTTACAGACACAAAGAGATCCCACCATGTCGAACGAACAAATTGTCTGTCGGCATTTATAAAATGTTACCGGTATTTTATGTTTCCATTAGTCTAGTCATTACTTTTCTTCATGCATCAGGTAATTCATCCGCATGAAATGGTTGGATGGAAACGTGGTTACAGAGAACAATTTGTCTCTGACACTTATCTCTTCTCCCTTTTACTCAAGCAGAATAAAGCAATAGCAACTCCCATCCAGGGAGTGTGGGACATGAGGAACAAGCAGTTCCACACTGGCATAGAGATCAAGGTGTGGGCCATCGCCTGCTTCGCCCCACAGAGACAGTGCACCGAACTCCTGCTCAAGTAAGAACTGCATCTGCAAGGAGCCCTACCGAGGGGGGATCTATTAAACCTTCCGTTTCAGTTTTAGATGGGTTTCACTAATCTTGATTAGTATTAAAAACATTAATTTCTTCTCCCTATTCCTAGATGGTATTAAAACCATGTATTACTTCTACCTATTCCTTGATGGTATTAAAAACAATTACTTCTAACTATTCCTTCCGTGTTTGCCCTTATGATTTCCATATTTTATGAATTTGATATCTAGATTTTAGGACTATTTCCCCATCGAACCCCTGATAAACCTGTTTCTCTCAGGGCGTTTACAGACCAGCTGCGTAAGATCTCTCGTGACGCGGGGATGCCCATCCAGGGCCAACCCTGTTTCTGTAAGTACGCCCAGGGTGCGGACAGCGTGGAGCCCATGTTCAAACACCTCAAGTACACCTACCAGGGCTTGCAGCTGGTGGTGGTCATCCTGCCTGGGAAGACGCCCGTCTATGGTGAGGAAACTGGAAACTATGTTCCTAAGTGAATGGCTGTCTCTGTTTTATAGATCAGCCTCTAAATCATCTTGGTTCAGTTAGAAAGCTGTGCTCTATAAGGGCTTTTAGTATATTTAGTGGATTATATTTCCAACCGTATCAAATCTCATATGTAGACTTTCTAACATCCACACACCGCTAGCTGTATATCTCTCCTGTTGTGCTGACATGGCCTGTCCCCTCCCTGTGTGGTGTAGCTGAGGTGAAGCGTGTTGGTGACACAGTGCTGGGCATGGCCACCCAGTGTGTCCAGGTGAAGAATGTTCAGAAGACCACTCCCCAAACCCTCTCCAACCTCTGCCTGAAGATCAACGTCAAGTTGGGCGGGGTCAACAACATCCTCCTCCCACAGGGCAGGTCAGTGTAGAACCTCTCTCATTAACATGACTATGAGTACTTGCTGGTTGTCATCATTTGAATGAAGTGTTGTACATTCGTTCAAAATGTATAAACCGGTATACATTTGTCCATGACATCTGAGACTGGTGCCTTGTTTCAACATGCTCATCCACCTATACATTTACATGCAGGGCTCTACGCTTTTTTACAAGGAGCACGTGTGCGCATACAGTGGCTGTCGAAAGTATTCACCCCCCTTGGCATTTTTCCTATTTTGTTGCCTTACAACCTGGAATTAAAATGGATTTTTTGGGGGGGTTTGTATAATATGATTTACACAACATGCCTACCACTTTTTATTAAATTGTGAAACAAACAAGGCAAAACTGCTCCAGCTCCTTCAAGTTGGATGGGTTCCACAGGTGTACAGCAATCTTTAAGTCATACCACAGATTCTCAATTGGATTGAGGTCTGGGCTTTGACTAGGCCATTCCAAGACATTTAAATGTTTCCCCTTAAACCACTCGAGTGTTACTTTAGCAGTATGCTTAGGGTCATTGTCCTGCTGGAAGGTGAACCTCCGTCCCTGTCTCAAATCTCAAGAATTTCCCTGTTTTTTGCGCCATCCAACATTCCTTCAATTCTGACCAGTTTCCCAGTCCCTGCCAATGGAAAAACATCCCCACAGCATTCTGCTAAACCACCATGCTTCACTGTGGGGATGGTGTTCTCGGGGTGATGAGAGGTGTTGGGTTTGTGCCAGACATAGCGTTTTCCATGATGGCCAAAAAGCTCAACTTTAGTCTCATCTGACCAGAGTACCTTCTTCCATATGTTTGGGGAGTCTCTCACATGCCTTTTGGCGAACACCAAATGTGTTTGCTTATTTTTTTCTTTAAGCAATGGCTTTTTTTCTGGCCACTCTTCCGTAAAGCCCAGCTCTGTGTAGTATACGGCTTAAAGTGGTCCAATGGACAGATACTCCAATCTCCGCTGTGGAGCTTTGCAGCTCCTTCAGGGTTATCTTTGGTCTCTTTGTTGCCTCTCTGATTAATGCCCTCCTTGCCTGGGCTGTGAGTTTTGGTGGGCGGCCCTCTCGTGGCAGGTTTGTTGTGGTGCCATATTCTTTCCATTTTTTAATAATGGATTTAATGGTGCTCCGTGGGATGTTCAAAGTTTCGGATATTTTTTTATAACCCAACCCTGATCTGTACTTCACTACTTTGTCCCTTACCTGTTTGGAGGGCTCCTTGGTCTTCATGGTGCCGCTTGCTTGATGGTGCCCCTTGCTTAGTGGTGGTGCAGACTCTGGGGCCTTTCAGAACATATATATATATATATATATTAGTGAGGGGAAAAAACTATTTGATTTTGTACGTTTGCCCACTGACAAAGATATGATCAGTCTATCATTTTAATGGTAGGTTTATTTGAACAGTGAGAGACAGAATAACAACAAAAATGTTATAAATTGATTTGCATTTTAATGAGGGAAATAAGTATTTGACCCCTCTGCAAAACATGACTTAGTACTTGGTGGCAAAACCCTTGTTGGCAATCAGAGGTCAGACGTTTCTTGTAGTTGGCACCAGGTTTGCACACATCTCAGGAGGGATTTTGTCCCACTCCTCTTTGCAGATCTTCTCCAAATCATGAAGGTTTCGAGCTTGGCGTTTGGCAACTCGAACCTTCAGCTCCCTCCACAGATTTTCTATGGGATTAAGGTCTGGAGACTGGCTAGGCCACTCCAGGACCTTAATGTGCTTCTTCTTGAGCCACTCCTTTGTTGCCTTGGCTGTGTGTTTTGGGTCATTGTCATGCTGGAATACCCATCCACGACCCATTTTCAATGCCCTGGCTGAGGGAAGGAGGTTCTCACCCAAGATTTGACGGTACATGGCCCCGTCCATCGTCCCTTTGATGCGGTGAAGTTGTCCTGTCCCCTTAGCAGAAAAACACCCCAAAGCATAATGTTTCCACCTCCAGGTTTGACGGTGGGGATGGTGTTCTTGGGGTCATAGGCAGCATTCCACCTCCTCCAAACACGGCGAGTTGAGTTGATGCCAAAGAGATCGATTTTGGTCATTCAGATGTTCATTGGCAAACTTCAGACGGGCCTGTATATGTGCTTTCTTGAGCAGGGGGACCTTGCGTGCGCTGCAGGATTTTAGTCCTTCACGGTGTAGTGTGTTACCAATTGTTTTCTTGGTGACTATGGTCCCAGCTGCCTTGAGATCATTGACAAGATCCTCCCGTGTAGTTCTGGGCTGATTCCTCACCGTTCTCATGATCATTGCAACTCCACGAGGTGAGATCTTGCATGGAGCCCCAGGCCGAGGGAGATTGACAGTTATTTTGTGTTTCTTCCATTTGCGAATAATCGCACCAACTGTTGTCACCTTCTCACCAAGCTGCTTGGCGATGGTCTTGTAGCCCATTCCAGCCTTGTGTAGGTCAACAACCTTGTCCCTGACATCCTTGTTGAGCTCTTTGGTCTTGGCCATGGTGGAGAGTTTGGAATCTGATTGATTGCTTCTGTGGACAGGTGTCTTTTATACAGGTAACAAGCTGAGATTAGGAGCACTCCCTTTAAGAGTGTGCTCCTAATCTCAGCTCGTTACCTGTATAAAAGACACAATTGGGTGCCAGAAATCTTTCTGATTGAGAGGGGGGTCAAATACTTATTTCCCTCATTTTAAAATGCAAATCAATTTATAACATTTTTGACATGCGTTTTTCTGGATTTTTTTGTTGTTCTGTCTCTCACTGTTCAAATAAACCTACCATTAAAATTATAGACTGATCATTTCTTTGTCACTGGGCAAACATACAAAATCAGCAGGGGATCAAATAGTTTTTTCCCTCACTGTATATACTGAGATCATGTGACTTTATTTAACTAATTATGTGACTTCTGAAGGTTGCACCATATCTTATTTAGAGGCTTCATAGCAAAGGGGGTGAATACATATGCATGCTCCACTTTTCCGTTATTTATTTTGTATAATTTTTTGAAACAGTTATTTTTTTCATTTCACTTCACCAATTTGGACTATTTTGTGTACGTCCATTACATGAAATCCAAATAGAAATCCATTTAGATGACAGGTTGTAATGCAACAAAATAGGAAAAACGCCAAGGGGGATGAATACTTTTGCAAGGCACTGTAAGTTGAAAAATATAGGCGCACACAAAGGAATTTAGGAGCACAATGGAAAATATTTGAGGTTATAACGCTAGAATCCTTAAGTATTCTAGGCACACTGGTGCTCCTAAATATAAATTCCAGGTCGCACAGCAAAATATTTCTGTGCATATGCGAGTAAAATGGTCCCGCAGTTTTTTGTTAATTTTACCTTTATTTAACTAGGCAAGTCAGTTAAGAACAAATTCTTATTTACAATGACGGCCTACACCGGCCAAACCCGGATGATGCTGGGCCAATTGTGCGCCGCCCTATGGGACTCCCAATCACAGCCGGTTGTGATACAGCCTGGAATCGAACCAGGTGGTCTGTAGTGACGCCTCAAGCATTGAGATGCAGTGACTTAGACCGCTGTGCCACTCAGGAGCCCAAATAGAAATGTAGAGCCCTGACATGCCTTAATTGAATCTAATTAATCTAATTTATCATGTTTACGTTCAAACCTCTTCTCCTCTAAGGATGGCTCAGGTTAATCTTGTGAGTGTCTGTTCTTCCCAGGCCCCTGGTGTTCCAGCAGCCGGTCATCTTCCTGGGTGCTGACGTCACTCACCCTCCTGCTGGAGACGGGAAGAAACCCTCCATCGCTGCAGTAAGTCAGACCAGCCTCTCCACAGGGCCTTGTCAACTACCAGGGAATGTAGGGGTGCATCTCAATAGTCTACAGTAGTTTGTTTTACTATACCCACAGGACCACGTTCTGCTAGGGAGGAGGGGTGCATCTCAATAGTCTACAGTAGTTTGTTTTACTATACCCACAGGACCACGTTCTGCTAGGGAGGAGGGGTGCATCTCAATAGTCTACAGTAGTTTGTTTTACTATACCCACAGGACCACGTTCTGCTAGGGAGGAGGGGTGCATCTCAATAGTCTACAGTAGTTTGTTTTACTATACCCACAGGACCACGTTCTGCTAGGGAGGAGGGGTGCATCTCAATAGTCTACTGTGGTTTATTTGACTGTCCCAACATCATCTGAAATGGAGAGGACCAAGGAAAACAATAGTCTACCACTCCACCTTGCTCACTTATAGGCTTCCATCTGACCAGCAAAAAAATCTCCTTCTCCTAAGTGTGCCCTGTGCTTCCTCAGAAATGTGATTCTTCATGATTAATCAGCAATTCCTGCTTATCTCCATTCACATATAATTGAGACTGATCTATCCCCCTTGCCAAAATCCCTGATGTGTAATATTGTGGCGATCACATCCCTGTTTCTCTTTTTCTAGGTGGTGGGGAGCATGGACGCCCACCCCAGCCGCTACTGTGCCACGGTGCGGGTGCAGCAGCATCGCCAGGACATCATCCAGGACCTGGCCACCATGGTCAGAGAGCTGCTCATCCAGTTCTACAAGTCCACCCGCTTCAAGCCCACCCGAATCATCTACTACCGCGACGGCATATCTGAGGGCCAGTTCAACCAGGTTAGACTTGAGGTAGACTTGAGGAAATAGGATTTCAATTCAATTGCATGATCTGTAATTGTACTGTACAAACTGTGGGGCGTGAGTAAAAAAAGATTTGTGGTCTTTGTTTTTCTATTTGTTTCTATTGGTTACCGTTCCAATTTAATTCTGACTGCCCGGTCTTTGTCTCTACTGAGATCAAATCAGATATTTTTGATGTTGGAGTTTATTTGTTATTTTAACTTTTTGATTTGCCCAGCTGTGTTTCTGTTGGTTACTGTTCTGACTCTCCTTGTTTTGAACTGATATGAATGTACATACTGTTTAACTAGAACTGTCGTTTTGGGGTTCATCCAGGTGCTCCAACATGAGTTACTGGCGATCCGTGAGGCCTGCATCAAACTGGAGAAAGACTACCAGCCCGGTATCACCTTCGTGGTGGTGCAGAAGAGACACCACACTCGACTGTTCTGCATGGACAGAAACGAGAGGGTTCGTAGTCTCTGCAATTCATACTGACCACTATTATTACTGTAAAAGAAACGTGTATATTAAATGCCTACATTGTGATATTATATGATTCCTAATGTGTTTTGTTCAGGTTGGTAAGAGTGGCAACATCCCTGCCGGCACCACAGTGGACACCAAAATCACTCACCCATCGGAGTTTGACTTCTACCTGTGTAGCCACGCTGGCATTCAGGTAGGAACCAGCCAGCATCAAGGGGTGCATCCCAAATGGCTCCCTATATAGCGCACTACTTTTGACCAGAGCCCATAGAGCTCTGGTGAAAATGTGTGCACCTATATGGAAATAGGTTACAATGTCTGACACGACCCAGGACACTATAGTGCTAGGTCGTGGAGAATGGACCCACCTCCAGCTTTACTAATATGTGCTTATGAGAGGAAATCTAGTTGTTTCTCTGCTCTAAATGTTTTTATAATTGCGATGTTTCACATTTCTAGACTTTATTATACGTTGGTTATAGTAGACAAAAAAAGTAAATGACAAATGCATTTACACTAAACATATAATTGTAATTCCTCTCTCCTCAGGGGACCAGCCGACCATCCCACTACCATGTGCTGTGGGACGACAACCATTTCACCTCAGACGAGCTGCAGGTGCTCACCTACCAGCTGTGCCACACCTACGTGCGCTGCACCCGCTCCGTCTCCATCCCAGCACCAGCCTACTACGCACACCTGGTGGCATTCCGTGCCCGCTACCACCTGGTGGACAAGGAGCACGACAGGTAAGGGAGACATCACAATGCCTGATGTATAACATGGCCCTGTTCTGATACCCTATTAAAGTAACTCTTATTTCCATCATATCACTGCACCATTCAAACTGTGGTAGATGAGTGATTACCAGAAGGTGATTAAGTGTATTTAAAAAAAAAAAAAAGAATTCAGACCGAAGAATTCACTAACTCTTTCCCCTGTGATCATTCCAGTGCGGAGGGCAGTCACACGTCGGGACAGAGCAATGGCCGTGACCAGCAGGCCTTGGCCAAGGCAGTTCAGATCCACCAGGACACACTGCGCACCATGTACTTCGCCTGAAGCACCAAGCCTGGGCACCGGGGTGGCAGGGGTGAGACAGACCCACAGTGAAGAAGCCTTCTCTCCTCCCACCTACTACTACCCCCTTACTGTGTCAGGTGTGGGCATCAGTGGGTTTGTGCAGTCTATCGTCTCTCCCCACCAGTAAGGGGGAATTATATAAGTGTCATCCCAAACAAATTGGGACGGTTTCTTTTCCAGAATGTCCAGAATTGTTTTCAAACCCACACATACAAAACCGCTTTCTTCCCTTCTCCCTGGCCTAACCCTGGTCATTATTAGGCAGTAGTATGTAAAATGATTCCTCAGAAATCGGTTGTGGTGGGATGGGCTCATTTATTTGACATGTACATTTGTTTGTATTTGTAAATTAGTAGTTTACAGAGTTTGAGCAAAGGAAAGAAACATTTAGTTGGAAATACTTCTATGAAAAACTAGAGGGCAGTATCCTCACACTTTGGTTGTTTAGAATCTAGACACAAGGTCACACTTAACACTCCATAGTTGTTTTAGTTGAGTTTTTTGAAGGGTGCCCCAGGGTTAAAGGGAGGTGGGGATATTGAAGTGAAGGGCCCGATGGAAGGTTTATAATCATTCTTACTCTTTACAACTTTATTATTTATCAGCCAATCAAAGCAAAGTGCACTGACCAGACGGATACTTTGACCAGGACACAAGTACTTAACATGTTGTCTTTTCATTTGTATGTACAGCTATGAATTGAACAGGCCTGTGTACAGTACCAGCCGCAGAATCCTCCATCAACACTGGTGACCAACACGTTTTTATGCTGCATCTGATGACAGCAAGCATTAGATTTTCATTAGACTTTGAAACTGTTCACACTTATTTTTAATCAAGACTTATACAAATTAATAATATGAAATCTTAACTGTGGGGAATTGTTGCTCTCTTGCCTTTTTTACTTGGACTGAGTCGTTTTGTCAATCTATGGCCAGTGTTGCCAGAGAAACGAACTAATGGAATGGGACTGGTTCCCAACAGACACCTTTTTATGTTCTCTAAGCCCCGTTACATGTTAAGACCTCTACATTATGAGGGAGGTCAAGTCTCTTCAAATGAAATGTTAGTATCCCCCTTATTTTCATGTATTCTTTAGACAAATGTTTACGGAAATTGCGTGTAGATGACTCACACATTCGATTTAGGCATTTTGATATGTTAACCCTATCTGTAGTTTTGATCTTTTTCTGATTTTTGTTGCAGCGAAATGGTTTAAATCATGGTTTTCTCCCTGCCGGGGGCAAGTGGTGTTGCTGGCATCTTGTAGTCCAGGCGTTGGTACAGTACAGTGAGTCTGTGGTTGTAAGGGTCACACACTTCAGTTTAGGGATTCCAGCGGTGGATATGTTCTCTTCGTTATTGCTCCGCAAAAAAGGGGGGCAATTATTTGTAGTCAAGCAAAGGTTTTGTGCGAATGTTTTTTTTTTTTAAATTGTGGTTCTTTGTAGCATAGCCTTGTGGGATATAAGGTATATTTTGAATAAGCTTTTAGAAGAGATTGTTAAAATGATAATAGAAACATTTTTTTTATTTTCCCATATGTAGTTGAATTTAAATTAAGTCATTGTCTTTATTTGTATACGCAGACCTTGAATGCAAAAAATGTAATGCCTTCCAAAACTGAAATTCAACTAATAATCTTTAGTATATCTTTTTTTAATTCCCTTTTCTGTTCTCCTCCTGAATAATTCGATTTTAGCAGGGAGTTCTTCATGTAGCCTAGATGGGCTGGCTTATCTCTCTCTTTTCTAACTATGCATTGTTTTTAACCAAGAGATTTTAGCTGTGATGTTTCTCACATGAATTTAGGTTATTTGTAGAGTAGTAGTAGTAACATTTGTATTTTTCTCTCTTTTTTGCTTGGTGCGTTTGTAGTGCTTCTTCCCTATACCTTTGTAATGGTATGGGGGAATTGTATTTAAATTTGTATTGTATGTTTGATAGCACAAATTCGGTATATACTTTGTAAAACACACAATCTCTCTTCTTAGCCAAACAAGATTACACATTTTGTACATAATGTCCTAAAGAAATTGACGCACAAGAGGACATCTTAATTACAGGTGCTAGACGTTTTTTCTCTTTCACTGAAATGTCACCTTAAATCCGCAATGGACTTCACTTGCCGTAAGTATGGTAATAGATGATGAAGCGTTTTTTCTCCCTTAACGACATTCATTACTTTCATTTCTCATTTCCTGTAAAGTAATCCGAAATCCGACTGACTGTTTGTTGGGCATTCTTTGAAATCAAGTACTTGATATTTACAGTTATGTCAATATTATTTGGTGCTGGTCTTGTGAGGTGTAAATTTGGATGCACTTTTCATAGTAGTGAACTTGGTATGAATTCCATTGATTGGTCGATCCAAGCAGGAAACTCGAAAGTACATTGAGTCTGGTGCAATTGTGTTGAAATGGCTGTGTGTTCTACCTCTTGTTACCTGTTCAAGTGTTATGGTAACGTCACACTGCTGGTCATTTCTTCATAATTACACAGGATATTATATCTGATTGGCATCGTTTGAATCTTGCATTGTCACGAAATTGAATGATTTTGAACATTTGTCATGTGACAGTCAGTGAACCTGCGTTCTGTAATCATAGTTTCATAGTTGTTGTGCACGATCCTAAAGCTTGTTCAAAATGTGTAAAAAACAAACAAACAAAAAGTGGTTAGAGATCTAAGGGATCTTTTTAGCGTTGAGCTGAAATGATGTTGGTCGTACCAAGCTTTTGTCTTTTATTTTCTACACGCCCATGGAACAGCAATCATTTAGCACCTTATTTGTGGTAATATAAAGGATGTTTTAAACCAACCAATGCAAAACATACAAAAATATATCACAATAACTTCATTGCATATCCTTAGAGATGGATGGTATGTTACCCAACTGACTGCTGGGTAAGATGTTGGTAAAGCCGAGGCTGATAACAATTATAGCTGCTCACCCACAATTTGACGATTACTATTGTAGCCTATGTCATGTCTTTTAAACTATTAGCTTGATACTGAATATGCAACATGTACTGCTATCCCCCCCATAGATACACATGGGGTACATTGAAAAGCATATCCCATGTTGCTTTAATTGGGTTCATTGAATGCAGTGATTCAATTAAATATAGACTTCTTTTTTTTTTTGGAATGCATCGTCTAAGCTCTTTGCCTCACACGTTTATTCAGGTTATTGTTTGCTACAGTCAATCGTACAGAGGGCAGAAACATGTTTTAGTCAAGTCAAGTGGACTTGATGTTATTGATAAAACATGAGTTGATTTTATTGCAATGGAAACTATGCTACATGACGTGTGCTTGTCCATTGAAATGTGAATATTTTCCTTTCAATGTGGATAATGCTCAACGTTTCATACTACCATTTTTCATCAGTTTTCCCTACCTGAAGTCTGCCTCACCCTTTTGTTCATCCTAAACTTGTTTCTTGGGAGATGTGGTCTTGTTTTTACTGCTTATATGTGTTTTAAATTACCTATTTATACACAGCACCTTAGATTATACCAGACCTGTACAGCATTGCTTTTCCTGAAAATATCCAAAACATTTGATAAATGTTCTTTTTGCACTAAAATAAAAAATATATATACTTTTGGAGCTGTTGTCTAGTTGAGTCACTAGTGTTGTCTCAGACGGAATGAGAGATGAGATCAGATCAGCTGGTTTATGATTATCATGATGCTTACATTGTTTAATACTAGGCTAGTTTGTCTGGTGAGACCATTAACTCATTGCATTGACAACTGGTCCCAGATAAACACACATGCACTTTGAAGTCAGACATTCAGATGGTTACACCAAGGCCTATTTGTCGAGAGGGATTCTCCCAGCCAACCAGCGTACAGTGGGTGATTCACTGAAAATAATGCCTTTTAATGTCTGTCAGATAAATAACTGCCACTGGGCTGTGATTGATTCTCCTCCCAGAAGAGGGTGCTATTCATGCATTTATTACATTTGTTTTGAGCTTTAGTTTCTATGGCCATGAAAAAGCTTGAAGGTTATGAGTGAGACAACAGCATATGCAAAAAACAAAGATGAAACTGACATCTTACCATGTATTAGGATACTGGGTGGACGTCTTACCATGTATTAGGATACTGGGTGGACGTCTTACCATGTATTAGGATACTGGGTGGACGTCTTACCATGTATTGGGATACTGGGTGGACGTCTGATAGTTGTGAACATTCTGATTTTGAATATCGTACTGGTTGTGTAAATGTGTAGCTATAGTCTGATGCCAAAGTTGTATGTGTGGAAAAGGTGTCCTGCAAGTTGGTTGTTAGATATGTATTACTTGCGTTGTTATGGTCGCCAGAAATACGACATTCATAGAGAAATCACATGCATCAACGAATGTGGCAGAACTAGTATCATATCAGTATGTAGGAGTTATCTTTTGAAGCTTTTTTTGTCAGAACATACAGGTAACTGCCAAAATAATGGAAATACTGCTTAGGTGGTGGGCGGTTGCGTGGCCACCGGAAATGCTAAAGGCTGTCCTGTTGGTGCAGTGACAAAATATTGCTTTTTTTTCTGCATTTCTACACGTTTTGCCAAGGCTTATGCTATCTGAGTGACTCAAACATAACACAATCATTGGGGGCCCCATGCCATGACATAATACTCCTGAAAGCATCATTTTGAGGATTTTAGATTCTCTGTGACTGTCTAGCTTTTTATTTTGGTGATTGTTGCTTCTCAAGGATGATCTTATAAAAAAAATATATAGGGCTGTTCTTTTCTGCATACTTTATCTGGTTTTAGTCTTTTTTAAGTTTACACAAAAATGTTTTTACATCCCAATATTTTTTTAGCTGTTTGGACATAGGCGGCCTGAAAACACTTAGGTGGCCCGCCCACGATGTTTCTATGCAGAAAAAATCCTGCACTTGAGTAAATGAGGGACACAAAGTATAGTGAAAGCAGGTGCTTCCACACGGGTGTGGTTCCTCAGT